CACTTTTGCTAATTACATTATTGTGTCCATCTTTTTGAGCTATCGCGTAAAAGGAGCAGCGGATGAAGTGACGAAGTTGTGCCGTTTCCCCAAAAGTACGGTCACAATATATATATATATAAAGTTATTCATTTAAAAAATTATCCATTTTGTATACATATTTTTTTTAAAGCAACTATGTGTTTTCTTTACACCATTTGATTTATCTCATTATTCTGTTAACAAAAGTATTAAGGTACGATAATCAAAAAGTCAACAGTTTACGAGTTATTTAACATTTTGTGTCAATATGTATCAAAATAAAGTGTAAAATATCTCAAAAACTATTGGTTTTTTGGTATCTCTACCTTAATATTCTTATATGCAAAATAATTAGAGAAATCACGTCATCTAAAAAAAAATTACATAATTCCATTTAAAAAAGTGGAGGTGACCTTCATATCTTTTTAGCCTCCACCAAAAAAACAATTATTGACATCACATTATGTGCCCCTCGAAATCAAGCAACTTTTGTTTGATACTTTTTCTTCTATTGTCAAAAACAAGCGAGTTATTCAGGTGACCTGTTTTAAATGCCCCTCCCTGTATAAAATTATTTGGAAAACAAAAAACATATATGATATTAACATAATAAATATTAACGCATATAAAAAGATGTAATGACTAATAAAACGCATATCGACAGATAACAAATAAATTAACAGACGTAGGTAAAACTTCATTTCTCTCACTTGTCGCATGTCAATTTAGGCTCAAATATTAAAGGCATTTCTTGAAAATTAATCGTCATCTCCTTCACTAGTAGCATGTTATGGAAGCTCAAATATCATTGCAAGTGTAAAAAACAGTTTATGTGTGCGTAAGAGAAATTGCATTATCTGTTAAAATATATATATAATGTAATTACAATTAAAAAAAAACTCGAAGTATTAAATACAATCATACATATGCGTAACGAATAAAATTAAGAATTTTTATTGTGTAACGCATATTATATATTATACTACTCAACTTAATGATAATTAAATTAAGTTTAAAAACACTTCAAAAACAAAGAATAATAGCGTACCTTGATCATTTGGTTGCTTGAATTAAATTTTATAAAGTTATAAATGTGACAAGGAAACTACTGTAAGTGATGTTAACAGTTTGACTACCGAAAACAGTTTAAATTTGAAAACATATGGAAGATGACAAGGAAAGAGGTTATCGAGAGGAAGGGTAGTTAAGAGAAAAGAGGGGAGGAGAATAGAGGAGAAAATTTGAAGAAGGGGAAAGGGATTGTATAATATTAGAGTAAGTATCAGGCAACGAATCGGTGTCATTCCGCTTATTAAGACCCTGTTTTTGTCTTTTTATGTGAATCATTTCGGATATCAGTCTTTTATTGTATGATGGTTCACTGTCAAGAATTTTAACGTTATTCCAATTAAAATTATGATCATAATTTATACGATGATCTGTTATTACAGAAGGTGAACCAGTCCTTTTTCTGATATCAGAAATATGTTCATTAAGTCTGGTACTTAATTTTCTTTTTGTCTGACCCACATAGCTAGCCTCACATGTTTAAAATTAAAAAATTTTTACTTCATTATTTATAATAATTAATTTATGGCTCGTAGTCCTGTTATTTTCAATGTTTTTTTGAATTTGTTGAGCCTTGTTATTTTATAATTTTTTATTTTATAATTTTTATTATATTCTCTTTTACTTTATTAACTTATTTTACTTGACAGATTTTATATAAATAATACTTTCTACACAGTTGCTATTCGGCAATCCTGGTTGTATTGTTGAAATTGATGAAGTGAAAATCGGTAAAAGAAAACACCATAAAGGTCGCATTATTGACGGACAATGGTTATTTGGTGATTACAAACGTGATAGAAAAAAAAATTTGTTGTCCTTGTCAAAGATCGTCGAACTGAAACTCTAATTCCACTTATTCGCCAATATATTGCACCAGGATCAGTCATATATAGCGACTGTTGGCATGCTTACAACAAATTATCTGAAGAAAATTATATTCATAAAACTGTCAATCACAGTGAGAATTTTGTGAATCCAATTATAGGAGTACGTACGTAAAATATAGAACGGCTGTGAAGTGATTTGCGTGCTGGACTACCGCGTTATGGTACAAAGGCAGAGCATTATAAATATTACTTAGGAGAGTTTTTTTTTTCAAAAGGGAATATAATTTTGTAGAACGTATAGATAAATTTTTCGATATAATGGCTTCAATGTATCCTATCAGTATTGAAATTTCAAATTAAATAAATTTTTAATAAAATTTTATGTCCAAACATTGTGTTTCATTTATAACTCTTTTTTTGTTAATAACTTTTTAACGAAGGACGAGTGACGGCTAAAACGTCGTGCTAAAATGGCTAAAAAAGCGTGCGTGCGTGCGTGCATGTGTGTGTTGTATACAGTAGAAATAAGACATTATTTGATGTTTTACACACGCACGCGCACACACACACACACACACCGGGGGGGGGGG